AGGGGGGGTTATGTACTGACCATTTTGAAGAATTGGCGCTGGCCTGATTTGTTAGTTGAGTGTGGTGTTGTGGGGAGTGGTAGAGAAAGCGATCGCGAAGTTGGCGTCGCTGGTGATGGTGTCGCTGATATATTCAAGATGCGCGCGCACAGCCTGACATGGAAATTCACAGCCTTATGGATGGAGGTTGGTTTTAGAGCAGGCTAGCGCGGTTGTGGCGCTACCGCGCTGTGGCTCGAGCGTCTTCAGCGCGTTTCTTCCAGCTCAACTCTTCCTGCGACCTCATTCCATTCTCATCAGCGGTTGGAGCTTCACATCGACCTCACTGCGGCCTGCCTTCTCGTCACATCTGAAGGCATAGCTTCAGCATCATCTCCCGCGTTTCTTCTTGTTATTCTAATAGTTTTATTTATCATCCAACAACGCGATCAAGATCTCGTTACGATCTGATCAAGCGGTTCTGCTGTCAAGCTGCGCAGCCCTCCTCAGGCGGGCGGTTACCTCTAACCATGCCTCGACTTCATGACCTTCGACAACCGTCACGACTGCCTCGGTCTCTTTCTATTATAACGGCAGATGGATCTCGTTTTTGAGATTGGATCGATTTCACCACAATCTTTCATCTTCAGCCAACAGAGAACATCAAGTGATGTCTACTGACAGCTTTGGTTATTCAAGAGCAAACAACCCTCCTTCACACACATATCCTGCCATGAAGAAACATCAGGGACGAGCTAAACCCGACCTTCCGACTCATCCAGCCCTTACTAGAGGGCTTGGGAGAGCATGAATAATCAAGAACGGATATCTGAGCAGCCTTGCACGAACATCGTTTTCATATGGCACACATCACCTCTTCTCCCTCGCCTCCCTTTCCCTATCGGTTCTCGTTACAAGAAGCCAAGCCGCTATGACGACAATTAGCAATTTCCAGAGGTGCGCCCGGTGTCGACTTTTGAGTTTCTGAAAAGAAGCAATCAGGAGACATGTCAGCGCAGCACCAGTGACGGTCACAAAAGTAGTTTTCAATCGGAGCGGCTCGCAATCGTGCTTGGTTTCAAGGGTTGGTTCAAAGGCGAGGAAATGGGAGAGAGAAGCTTCCACCAAATACCACACTGTTTCAGTTTAACATTCCTTCACTTCGGCCATCGAGCAGCCTGTCTGTGAAGTCACAGGCCGGCATCCATCAGCACCACAGCAACCATCGCCATCTTGTCTATTGGCTCAAGGCAGGCCACACTCTTTCACCGACTCCCATCTTTCCTCCCCCCACACTGGCGATCTCCGGTAACCAGTAGTGTTTTCACACAGGACCCTGTCGTCCTTGCCCCACCTGGATCCGGTGTGTTTTGTTCCACGGCGAAGAAATGACCTGTTGGGCAGAAGATATCGCTGCAAAAGGTGCCATATCGACCCTCACTGGTGGACGTGAACGCCGGTAGCGTAAGCCAGAGACCGGAAGATCCTCTTTTTCACTTGGCTCAAAAAATCCCAAGGGTGTGTTCTGCCCTGGGTAGATGGACTAGGTGGAGGGTGAATGCTTTTCCAATCTCATTCTGTCGACTCTCCTTTCTCAATTTCTTTCTTATTTTCGCAAAGTTAATTTTTGAGAAGAAACAAGGTATCCTTTTTGTACCCCCAAAACCAAAACCAAACCAAACGCATGCCTGGTGATGACCAAAGGTATCCAAAAAGCCAAATTTGCAGGCAGCCGACGCTTTTCCACTGTCTCTCTACCGAGCGTGGATTGTCAGGTTGTCAGTGGGAACAGAAGAGAGCTAATCTGAGGGCATTATTGATATGTTTGGTTTTGTGTGCGTCGTTTCTGAATGTGCAGTTGGTGGATGGCTTGAGGCTCAAGCGAGCTCTGACTCCAGTCTAGATAGCATTATGGTCATGTGCTTGGGTAGGAGTTTCATAACATCAGTTCCAGACATGTTCAGGTTCATTCAATATATTCTCAGACCTAGACTTTGACGCCTTGCCGGTGTATCTTTTTGCATGCTCCAACGAAAACCTAAACAAATCAACCACAATTGTACATAGATAATTTAAATAAAAAAAGGCCTTGTTCTTTTTTTTCAATCACCCACCCATTACATCACTTCCCCCCATATCTAGTTGGTCTTTTTGCTCCCCACCTTCTTACCCGTAGGGGCACTGTACATCCACAAAGCAACAAACACCACCCACCCGCTCACCGTCGCGCCGATGCCCGCAATCCAAGGCCAGGCACCGCTAATGACAAAGCTGCGGGGCCACTCGTCGTGGGCCATGTGTCTGACAGACACAGTGTTCTTCTCCTCGACGTTGGTGAAGAAGGGGCGCTTGTAATTGACCTTGAAGTTGAAGATGCCGTGCTGATCGGGAAGTTTGAACGAGACGGTGTAAGCCGAGGCTTCGGGGGTGGAGTGGGTCTCGTCGAGGGTCAGAGGCAAGCGGTGGAAGGGGGAGAGCATGGAGAACTCGAGCTGGAGGACGTCGTTGGCGGGGAGGGAGAAGGAGGTCCACTTGTCGTAGGCGTATTCCGAGAGGGAGATGGTGTAGGTCTTGCATTATCGCCATTGTTAGTTGATGATAAAAGGTGGGTTACATACGGGCTCACATGGGGGGGTTCGTCCAAACATCATTCTTTACCCTATAGATATAGGGGTTTGACTTGTTAACAGCAGCTACCTCGTTAAGGTGGTGCTCGATCCAGTTCACCCTCAAAACACCCAACTCCTGGAACGTCCAGGCGGAGACACGCTTGGCGAACTCGCGGTTGAAGGTCTTGACGGATTTACCACCTGGGGCGGCGATCTCGGTGACGAACCACTTGTCTTGGAGCATTTCGGCAGAACCGAGAAGGACAAAACGGGCAGAGTTGATCGCTTGGAAAGCGGTGACGAGGGAGAGCTGCTGGCCGGCGGCAAAGAGGTCGGCGACATCGAGGACGTCGGCTTGCTCCTTGGGGTTGTAGGAGTAGGCGGTCTTGGGGGCGCGGAGGATGGGGGTCAGATGCTCGCGGGGGCCGAGGACAGCGCCAACGCCGTGGGGGAAGGCGAGGAGGGCGTCTTTGGGGGCGCCGGCGGAGAAGAGGGGGGAGATATCACTGCGCACTGGGACGGGTGGGGGGAGGGCGAGAACATCGTGGGTTTCGGCGCCGGAGAGGGTATCGTAGGAGAAGTGGTCCACCACGAGGCCGGTGCGTTCGGTGGGGAGGGTGATGTCGAGCTCGGCGAGGAGGGAGACGAGGGTGTTGGGGGTTGTAGTCTCGGAGGAGAGGGTGTGGAGGATGTTGCCCTTGGCGTTGAGGAAGTTGACGAGAATTTGGGGCGTCAGGTTGGGGCCGAGTCCTAAAAGCGCATGGTGTCAGTAATGGGGTATGTTTGGAGAGGAAACAAGAGAATAGTATACCCTTTGTCTTGGTCGGGAAGAAGATGACATGATCGTAAGCTCGTTCGCCGAGGTGGAAGAGGACGAGGGACTCGCTCTTGGGGGTCTCATATGTGATTTGGAATCCTCTGCCTGTAATTCACAACCAATTGATCAGCATTCCAGCTCCCTATCCCATTCCCAGTCCATCCTCTGCAAACATACCCTCTAAATCGCCCAAAAACTTGCTATAATTCTCCTTCTCGCCCACTTCATCAAACACAGCCAGCAACCTGTTGCCGGAGGTGCTAACAGCCGACACAAGCGCAGCCCCCCAGCATAGCAGGAAAGCAAATAACGAAAGGAGCAGCGATGTTGACCGTAACATCTTGGGCGATCGATCCGTCTGTTGTATAGTTGTCGAAGTTGATGCCACGGGCGCGCGCAGCAACAGCAGCAGCTTTAGGTACCACAGCTAATAATCACCAATTCAGCATACGTAGCCTTGCCAAGACCACAACTTCTACCCCCCTTGCCCCGTTGATGCCAGACCCACCTTTAAACATTTGAGACTGCGGGGCCCCTGCTCTTGCTCAGTGCTCTGTAAGAATTACCCGCAGTTTCACCGGCCAGCAACCTATCGCAATCAAGTCAATTGAAGCTCCCACCACCCCAGCCCAAGTAGCTTCGAAAGCTCCCCCCCCCCCCAGGTCAGGTCGAGCCCAAACCACCACAGTATGTTCATGCCACCACAACCTATACAAACACCCGCAATTGGCTAACCAAGGGCGAAGCAGAGGAAAGAAACAAACAAAAATGTCCGGCGCAACCCCCCGCTTCTGGGCCACCCCCCTCAAATACTGCCGCTGGGCCGCCCGCGAGCGCCCTTCCCTCTTCTGGTCCTGCGTCATCGCCGGCTTCGGCCCTCTGCACCTCATCGTCGTCCCTCCTGTCCGCCGCGCCCTGGGCGACTATGACGCGCCTCAGATCCCCATGACTTACCCCGGTATATACTCTTGCACAACAATAGACATTGGGTCCTGTGCTAATCAGTGTCTGTGATAATAGTGCCAACTACGCCGAGGAAGAAGTTGACGGAATACGGGGACGAGACGGAGTAATGGGACGAGACGAATGAACCGAGAAGGAAACATCAGGGAAGCTGAGGGATGGGAGGTAGAAGAGGGGATTGAACATTGGAACCGAAAAACCGATACGACATGATGGGCGTACATGAGGCCCAGGCCGAGAGAGGGAAGCAATGGAGACAGACAGAAAGAGTGGAAAAGAGAAGCTGTATCAATTGTACATATTGGCGTTTATAAACGGGCAGAGAGGGTGGTCTAATACGAATAGACGTGTTTTCAAAGACATGAGGTCATAAAACCGGTAAACCAAAAGCCATATTGCAGAACGGGTAAGAAATTAAAGGTTTTCTTTTTTTTCCCCGCAGGACACATCCAAATATCTATCAACTCTAATTCAGACACTTCGCTGGAAATGTGATAATAATGGTGATGGCATGAGTGACCACCCACTCCTTGGCGCTAAACCAACCCCCCCCCTCACCCTGTCTTCTCTCCTTTCTGACCATCTTCCCGTGGCCTTTATTTTATGGTGATTGTCCGCTTGTGCCGATCAAACCCAGCCCTGTCTCACCTCTCTCGTTGGACCAGATTCCATTCATACTATCACCACCGTTAGCTTATCATCAACATCAGGGGGGGGGG